GCAGGGCAGGGGAGTTAGGAAGGGGTCCAGGGGAGGAGGGGCGAAGGAAGACCGGAGAAGCAGGGGACCTGTGTGCGTGTCAGGGGTAGCTGGGAGGGGACCCAGGAAAGACTGAGGTGTTAACAAATAACGTCTAGAAGTTTCCATCTCAGTAGTGGCTGGGGTGCTACTGTAACACAAATCTGCATTTCCCCATCTCCATCTGTCCAGTGGGCTGCTGAAATATATCCTGTTTCTTCTATCAAGCCAGCAGCCAGCAGATTATTAAATATCTGTGTTTTTTGTCTTTTTCAACTTTCATTATGAGCATTTCCAAACATACAGAAAAGCTGAAAGCATAGCATAACAAACACCCTGAGATATTCCCCTTAGTTACTTGGATTGAACAGTGGTTAACACGGTGCCATCCCTGCCTGCCTCTTTGACAGTTACAGAAAGTATGACACGTACAGAAATTGGGACCATACCACTGCACGTTCATGAAAACTAATATTTCCAAAGAATCATTTACTAGCCATTCCATTTTCAATTTTCCTAATAGTTTTAAGATTTTTTTAAAAAACTGGTTTTATGTGACTTAACTTGTGGCTCTGTCCCTTGTATTTTAAACTGGAAGTTAACTCTCGAGTTGGGCTGTTCATGTGATAGCCTATAGACATGTGTGGCTATTTAATTTAAATTGGTTAAAATTAAATAAATGCAAACTGGAGTTCCCCAGTTGCATGAGCCACATGGCCACGCAACAACTGACTAACTTAGTGGACAGAGCAGATATAGAACATTTCCACCATCACAGCAGCATCTACTGAATTGGGCTGGTCTGGAGGCTTGACTGGGTTCAACTGAAACTTTTTTGGACAGAATAGTTCATAAACAGTGCTATATAACTCTTATTGTATCACCCCAAGAAGCAAAATTATCAGCTTGTTCTATCATCCGTGATGCTAAATCAGATCACTTGCACACATTTCCCTTTTATCATTAGAAAGAATACTGTAGTAAAACATAGGTCCTATTTTGATAAGAAGATACTTTCTTTTCTTTTTTTTTTTGCCACCTACTATATGATATCATACATGCCATAAACAATCTCTAATTCTTCCATCAACCATATGAAGTATGTATCATCATCCCCATTTTACAGA